GCTACATTTTATCACTTTTCCCTGAAAATGTGAAGGAAATCACTTTCTGAATGCATGGTGGGTGACTGCAAATTGCTGTTCACCAGGCAGTTAAATGATGCATGCATAATGCCTTAGGCTGGTGTTGATGTCATCGCATTGACATCACCTCCTGTATCAGATAGGGCAGGTGCCTGAACACGGGCAGCCAAAGCTTTGCTGAGTGAAACGAAGATGACACATGAATAGACAATTACTTTTTTTTCTTTTCCTGATATCAAAATACAACATTCAGCAATGGAAGGCTTAAAAATACTAAAGACGTAGTGGTAAGTTAAATTATTGAAGTGGGATTGCATATAGAAAGTGCTGTTTGATGTTGGAGCTAAATCAAGAACTGGCAAGTTTGAGGGATCCTTGAAGTATTGACAATGTGTTTGATTTCCAGCTGGAAAAAAAATCATTACAACTAGGTTTTTTTTTTGGTTTTTTTTTTAATGTGCCTACCCCTTCAGAGTAGAAAAAATGTAAAATGCATGACCGAAGAGGCTTCTACTTTCAATGTTCGTGACTTTCAGTAAACAGGTTTGGATTTGTTTCTTTTTATAACCACAACTTAATGGCATATAGATGGAGTGTCAGATTCTGTCTGTAAGTTTGTCGTGGCAGAGGTGGATGTTCCTAGCTTACTCTATAACAGGGATCTTTATGAACCTCCTATTAATAATAGCAACACTATTTCCACATAGGAAATGCATCCAACAAAATAATCTCCAGGTGCTTTACTAGGTGCAGGTTTTATGTCCCACGGCTGTGGTAAAGGTGACCTTCAGGGGGAAAAAACACCCTATTGCATTTGCTCTTAGTGTCTGCTATGTGGGTCTGAAATTGAACTTGGAAGCCACAAAAAATAAAAGAAAGAAAGAAAGAAATAAAGAAAAGCCAAAACAACAAGGCTTTGCTTCTGTGCCTCTGCAAGCAAGAGGAAAATAGGGTTACATTGGTTTTAAGGCTGGGCATGTGATCGGTCAGCAGATTTCGTGCAGTTTTTCTTTCATAGCCTTGTTCAGCCGTGTCTTGGCCTTTGCAAAACCTGGCCTCATCTGACAGTCTTGGGCAAAAACGGGGTGATCCCTAAATAATCGGTTCTGAGTGACAGGAAGTGATTCACTCGATGGACGAAATAAACCCTGGGAAGCTGCTCCGCCTGCCTGTGAGAGCTCAGAGTTACCATCTCTGGGGCTGCCGGAGAGGGTGGTACAACCACTGTTGGTTCTGCCTCTGCTTCAGGGTATCCTATCCCTGTGGGGGAAAGGTGAAAGCACAGGGAGGTTTGGCCACTCTCCAGCTGTCACTGGGGATTGCTCAGGGAATCAGGTGGAGGTGCCGTGGATTTCTGTTTTCGTTAGTAAGCTGGGCAGAGAAGTGCCATGGCTGGGGAATGAGCACACGGTGTGTTTGGCTTCATCTTTTGGGAGAAGTGCCCTCTGAAGATCACAGAATCATGGAATAGTTTGGGTTGGAAAGGATCATCTTGTTCCACCCCCGCTGCCATGGGCAGGGACACCTTCCACTAGACCAAGTTGCTCCATCTAGCTTGGCTTTGGACGTTTCCAGGGATAAGGCATCCCAGCATCTCTGGGCAATCTGTTCCAGTGTCTCACCAGCCTCACAAGAAAGAATTTTTTTCTAATATCTAATCTATACCCAGTCTCTGTCAGTTTGAAGCCATTTCCCCTTGTGCTGTCACTACAGGACATTGTAAATAGTGTCCCTCCATCTTTCTTAGCTGCCTTCAAGTACTGGAAGGCTGTAGTTGGGTTACCCTCTCTCTCAAGACTGAACAATCCCAACTCTCCCAGCCTTTCCTCCCAGCCAGAGCTGCTCCATCCCTCTGATCATCTCGGTGCCTCCTCTGGACTCGCTCCAAGAGCTCCATGGTCCTTCCTGTGCTGGGGACCCCAGAGCTGGAGGTAGCTCTGCCGGTGAGGTCTCACCTGAGCGGGGCAGAGGAGCAGAATCCCCCCCTCATCTGCTGCCCACACTGCTTGTGATGCAGCCCAGGACACGGGGGGGGGGGTCTGAGCTACCAGAGCTCGTGTCCAGCCTCTCCCACACCAACAGCCCCAAGTCCTTCTCAGCAGGGCTGCTGAGGATGTTTGATCGAGGTGGGGCAGGATGGGCAGCCCCGGGCCGTGGCTCCTTCAGTGGCCACCTTGTGACTCGTCCCCAGAGCTCCCCTGAAGCTCCCCCAGCAGCACCGCGGACGGAATAAAGAAGGCTCCGGTGGTGACAACGTGGAAGTGGCTCTTAATGAGATGCGAAGGCACTAAAGGAAACCCAGACCCAAAGGGTAGCCGGGAGAGAAAGAGAACTCAGTAAGTTATACCCACCCCAAAATGAGCTGCTAATCACTGGCGCTATTGTGAGGGCTACAATAAATCAGTGTCTGCCCTGGCCGCCTGCATCTCATTAAGCACAAACATGCGGATAGGGAATGTCAGGCTCAATAGGGACCTGTCATGTGAGCGCTGCTGTGTCCGTGTGGGCTGGCGCTTGCATGGTTAGCCAGCTTTGTGTTTTCCCTTTTTTTTTTTTTTTTCGTGGGAGATATGTATTTTCTTCTGGAAATGTTGACTCGCTCTGTACTGTGGGTAGTAAATTTGCCCTTTTCTTCAGTGATTTGTGAATTCTGTGATGATAACATTGTATTTAAGGTGTGGGGGTAAAATATCTTTCATATGTGTCATATTTTGTTGGGGATTTTTATGTTTTTTTCCCCAAGTCCTCCTCTGTGTATGGTGCCATGCATATTCCTGAGGCTGGGGCAACACCTACGTGTATTTATGCAGCTGATGTACAGTGCCCATTACTCAAGCATCACAGACTGCCTCAGAAAGCCTAATTAATTTAAGCCCTGCAGCACCCCTTTGAGGCAAATTTTGTCGGTCCTGATGGATGCACACGTTGTAGCTGCTCTTTGTTATTTATTTTTAATATGATTTCTATCCCGGAGAAGGGGGGAGGGGCGAAATGAATAGTTTGTACTTTGTTAGGTAGTTGAAAAAATTCTAGGCTTTTGATATCATCGAAACAAAGTACGTACCAAACTTTAGATTTTATTGCAAGCCATGCCTCATAGGTCCTTATTTTCTTTTAAAGCCTCATCTTCTGGAGCCAGGTGAACTTGTAGATGGCCTTTTGTTTTGAAATGTCTCTGTCTAGCTTGTGGGGTTGCAAAATACATTTTAATGTCTTTTTTAAGTCTTTGCTTAATCTAAAATTTGGGATGCAGTGAGGCACTTGACTGAGGTTGTAGGCTGGTTTCTTTTTAGTGTTAAAATTTCTGCATGATTAGGACTGGGAATACCAATGACAGAGTATGAATGAAGTTCAGAAGGGATTCCCACAAGTTACTAGTTGGTTTTTGTGTTCATGACTTAATTTCAGAGCTCCTCAGACCCATTCTATATTAAGTAGGTAAAACAAGGGGAACCATCTCTTCCCTCCCACTCCATGAGTGAACCAAAGATGTTTTTGAACACTGACTCACACTTTGTTGTCTGCTCAGTGTTAGACTTAATAAAGAAGGATTCAGCACATTTTCTCCAAATGCTTTATCCTCCTTAGTCTTTACTCTCATTTCTGAGCTCAGCTGTGTTTCTCCACTTCTTTTGTCAACACTAAGCTTGTTTCCCTGATGGTTGTCTCTTACCCTTCCCACATCCCCTTTCCACGTTGGATCCCAAGCTACCTCGCTTTTCGAGGAGTGATGAGGGCTGACAAAGAGGCTGATTCGAGCTGTCTTTAAGCCACGGGCAACCAAGTCTTCATGTCTCACTCCCTCCTGTAGGAAAATTCTTCATTCCTTAATATTTTTCTAGGGACACCCTGCTGCTTTAGGGTGTCATTTCACAATTGTTTTAAGCCAATCTGAGACCACACTTGTCACCAAAGGGGGCAATCACCCTTTTCTAGTATCTGCTCCAACCACTTCTTTTTGAGTAGCTGCCTGATGTGGCAGATTGCTTTTTTTTTTTGGTATCTTAGCTGAGGCATCTGCTCTGATTTGCATCCCAGTCTCATGGATATGCCAAGAAGCCCTGGGAAGCACCCAGCCAAGAGCAGGGAAGAAGTGTGACCGTTGCTTTCGGAAGCAGTACAGTCCTTGACTGACTGACTGACTGACTTCAATTATCATCTAATGACACCAGATCTAATGTAGTTTCTTGGTTTCACTGAAAGGAGTGAAATTCTGCATCTGGCTGCTGTTTCCTTCAGCGCTGTGTTAGCACAGGCTGTGGTGAACCAGCCTGGTCACCTGAGCCAAATGGGGAAAAGGAGGCACCTCGTTTTGTCCCTGTGGTTTTGTGAGGCAATTTTAGGCCTAAATCACCCTCCCAATTAACCAAACACGTGGCCCACTCTTAGGCCACCTTTCAGTCAATGTTTTTCACCGTGTTTATAAATCCACCATCCTCCTGTGTGAAGGTGGTGAAGGCTGTGGTAGGTTGTTGCTGCTGAGGACAAACTGGGCATCGTTCCCGAGCCACGAGGCCCCTTCGTGCTTCTCCTCATTTCTGTCCTAGACCTGCACTCAGTCCCTACATAGAAATCTCATAAGCTCTAAGGCAAACAGTGCTTTGAGCAGTACATAACTCAGCTTGTGTCCCGGATGAGCCAAGTTTCTGAGACACACGGGTTGGGCCAAAAAAGAAATCCGAGATGATCAGGAATTCATCTGCTGTGCGAATATGGGCTTGGCAAGTTTCCCCCCTTCCAGGAACATGACTATTTTAAAGCACTTCAGCATGATCAGCTGTTTCGAAGGGCCTGCAGCAACGTATCTTTCCCCACAAAAGTGACTCTAAATTTGTTTTTCAGGGCAATGTTCATCGTCATTTTTTAAACTGAAGGTAGTTTAGACAAAAACGGTAATGGGAGTTTTTGTTTGTTTGTTTAATTGGATATGCAAATCATTTCTCTTTTTGTTTCCTGTTTGTTTTGTTTTGTTTTGGCAGTTAAATATTCTGGTTGACACTGGGAGCAGTAATTTTGCTGTAGCAGGTGTGCCTGATCCTGATGTCACCTCCTACTTCGATGCCGAGCTGTAAGTACCTGTTTCGGGCTGGGCTGGGGTGTCTTTTACATTCTGGTTCCTCCACACAAGGGAGGATGAAAAGGCAGTTTATGGGGCTGCTGTGGCATCCCGTGAGAGTGGGATGTTAGTTGCCTGAATGGGAATTTTGGCCTTGCCTGATGCAAAGTCCTGCCTGACACCATGGACAGTCCCAGTGATTTCAGCGCAGCTGAGCTCTGAGCACAGCACTGGTTAGAGCTGGAGGAAAAGGAAGAAGATTACAGGGTAAAAATCGTCTGCAGAATCACACCAGTTCCAGCCAATTTCTTCCCTGAATAGTCTTGGAAGGAATTAAAAGTTTAAATATACTTTGCCTTTGTTCGAATACAAAAATTAATTAAATTAAATTAATTAAATTAATTGTATCTGTTCACATGACATCTCATCCAAAAGCAAAATTAGTTAGTCAAAACCTAATTTGTTGTGCCTATTTTGGCTCAAGGGCCTCAGTCAGTTAATGATCTAGACAGACCCTGATGAATCTTGTTATTTATAAAATACAACCTTGTGGGTTTGGGTGCTTGTTATGCACTAAATTTACTGTGTTTAGCATAAGCTGACATTAATCACAGCCAAACACAGCTTTGTCTGAATCACTCTCCCCCTTTTCTTCCTTCCTTTCTGCCCTCCTCTAGGCTCAATTATTTCAGGTAAACTTCTCTGAAGTGCAGTATCTATCTTTAGCTGAAGCATATGGATGAAAATACTTAGAGGTCTGGGAGGCTGGAGAGTGTCACCACTCTTATTACCTCATTATGTACTTTAACATGGGCTTTTGCACTTTTTTTTCAGTAAGATGCACTGGAGGGAAATCCATTACTTCCACACTCCTCACTAGAATAGCCTTATCTCCTGTCATATATTCTGTTAATGGAGATATTTCACATCTCTTTCTGATGTGCTACAGGTCTGGAAAGTCCAGAATTTGCACTTAAAAGCTATTTCTGCACTACTGCAGAGTTTTCCATGCCAGATATCCCCTTCCATATGTAGTCCTAGAGGAAACTTAATTGCAAAGAATTTAAAGCACAAGCATTCCTCCCCCCTTTTTCTCTTAATTGATGTTATTGAGACTGGAAGGACAAGGCCTCTCTCATAAGAACCATAAATCATTGGAAGCAGCTACAGTAAAGGTTGTGTGTGGAGAAAGGCTGGGAAATCACTTGAAGGTTACAGTCTCTGATCAGTGTTCTCAGTGTACACTGTGTTTTGAGAACTTTGATATAAAGTTAATAATGAAACCTTGACATTTAGGCCCCGAAGCGTTAGTTAAGGATGTTTTGCAAAATTATTCAAATTCAAGATATTAGAGTCCAGAGCAATTGCAGTGAGAGTTTCTGGTTTGTCTTGGATTGATGGAGTACTACAGTGTGCTCAGAATAAAGTGCAACTGTTAGCAAGTTTGAACCTGGCTACACCATGCTTCTTGCATTTTAAGTATTTTTAAATGCATTTAAATAAATGCCATCCTGGTGTGATGCTGGCCCCAATGAAATCAGATGTTTCAAAAATGTTGGTTGCAGGAAACCTCTGTAGGACACCTTGCACATATCCCAAATGAGGTGGGGCTGTCACTAGATCAGGTTAGCCATGGCTGAGTCCAGCCAAGCCCTGTAAACCTCTGGGGATGGAGAATCCCTGCTCCCCCTGGGCAGTGTGCTCCAGTGCTGGGCCACACTCTCCCATGGAGGAAATATTTCCTGTTGTCCAGCCTCAGCCTCACAAAATGTAACTTGTGGGTGTTGCTTCTTGTGCAGAGAAAGGCTTGGCTGTGTCATCTTTCCGTGTTTCAAGCTGTCATGAGCTGCTGGGGGATCTTCCCTCAGCCTCTTGTCTGCAAAACCAAAGCCCAGCTCCTCTCGGCTCCTCATCACGGGTCCCTTGTTTGTGGCCCCTGACCTACCTGGTAACCCTCTGCCAGTCCCTCTTGTGCCAGATCCCTGCTGAACTGGGTTCCCACAGCTGTCCACAGTCTGTTCCAGGTGTGGTCTCACCTGTGCTGACCACACTGGGAGAGCATTTTCCTTGGATGTGTTGTCCTGGCCCTCCAGATGTGGCCTGGTCTGGACTTTGCTGCATGCATGGAGCAACTTACAGTGTTGGCTCTTACCCAACCTGGTGTCCACCATCACCCCAAATCATTTTGAGCCCCTTTCCAGTTGCTTCCCATTCTGTCCTGATGCATCCAGTTGTTTCCTCTCAGCCACAAAACTTCGGGATTCTCCTTGTTCAATGCCACGAGGTTTCTGTTGGCTCAGTCTTCCTATTTTTCCAGGTTCCTTCAGATTCAAGCCCTGACATTCATCGTGTCAACTTCTCCCTTTAATGTAGTGTTTTTGCAAATCTACTGAGTGTGCTGTCTGTGCATCATGTGGGTTCTTGATAAAGATGTTCACAGAATCATTAAGTTGGAAAAGACCTTCAAGGTGATTAAGTCCAACCTGTGCCCAATCCCCACTTTGTCCCCCAGCCCAGAGCACTGAGTGCCATGTCCAGTCATTCTTGGACACTTCCAGGGATGGGGACTCCACCACCTCCCTAGGCAGCCCCTTCCAATGTTTAACAACACTTTCCATGAAGAAATTCCTCCCAGTGTCCAGCCTGACCTCCCCTGACAGCTTAAGGCTAGGTCCCTTCATCCTGTCGCTGGTTGCCTGGGAGTAGAGAAGGACTCCCACCTGGCTACAACCTCCTTTCAGGTAGCTGTAGAGAGTAAAAAGGTCTGCTCTGAGTCTCTTTTCCTTCAGGCTGTTGAACAATTTTTCCCCCATTTACAGTCCCTGGGTGTCGAGCCAATGGTCAACTGTCCTTTGCTGCTCAGCAATAACAAAAACATCTCTATATTCAACACTGTTCTCTGCAGAAACCCAGAACACAGCCCTGTACTAGCTACTGTGAAGAAAGTTATCTCTAACCCAGCCCAAACCAGCCCACCTGGTTCTCATGATTTTGCACAGATGGTTCACAGGGGCCTTGATACCACATCAGCTGGATCTGTAAAATTACCCAACAGTGACGTTTACCCATGTGTAAATGAGAAAAGTGACCTGTGGGCATTTTCTTTTCCACGCTAGGAGGAACACTTCAAAATTAGATAAAGAGGTTTCCTCTCATCTGGTAATGGTTCCTGCAGTTTTTCCCTATATTGTCATGGAGTGGCTTCCAGAGTCATAAACTGCAAGTTGAAGAAGAGGGGAAAGAAAGATTAGTAATTTGTTAAGTTAATGGGACTGATTTATAGATGTGTGCTTATTAGAATATTAATGTTGTGTTGGAGAAAGAGAGTGATGAGTCTGGATTTCCTGATGCCACGCTCTTAGTTTAATTTTATTCTGATGATCATAATCTGAAATGGAATGCATGAGTGTTTTTTGACTGAAATTGAGGAGGGTGCATAGGAAGGGCACTATCTTTGTTTCAAAGGACCCAGAGGGTGCGTTTTTCAGGAAGAGCCCTCCTGGAGCACTTTCAGAACTAGCTTGTTAAATGATGTCGTGTATCATATCATCTGTGCCGTATAACTCTGCGGTTTAATTATCTGCCTCTTTCTGTACAAGTTGAGTAAAGCTGTTATCATGAACTCTTTTACAACTTGGGCTCTTGAGTGGCTCTGACAGAACTTTGCAGTGAGAAGTTCTGAGTTTGCTGTGATAACCATGCTCTGTAAGTCACCACGATGTATAAGGTTTTGCGAAACGGCCCAATTTGTCCTGAACTGCAAAGAAATCACAGTGCTTGTTTCTCATGCTGCTCAAAATAACAAGTAGTTTTGTTGAATGTGCTACTTATGATAAAAGAGATACTTAAACAGACATATAAAGGGGTTTTTACGGCTGAACCCAACTTATCTGTGGTGGCTCTGCAGCAATATGTCAACATGACATACCCAGGGCTTTCAGTATTCAGCAACAGCATCCACTTTTATTTCAGCGTGAGAACTGTGTGAAGGTTCAGGAGCAAGCTGCTCAAGAGTTGATCTTTCTGAGAGATAGGGAGGTAAGAACAATAGAGGCAGTAAATTGAGGTAATACAGTCAGTTATGTACCAGCAAAGCAAAATAAACTGCCTTGCAGTGCCGATGCTGTGAGTTTGGTTGTGTTCACTGCACAGATTGTGGTTTGGGGTGAATTATAAGCTTCTTCCACCAGCCCTGCAAATTAGATGGGACTTGGTGGTTAGAAATCAATAATTTATGCTATGTTTTCACATTTGCTTTGTCCTAAAGTTGTTTGGTGAGGTTGGTGTTAAGCAGGGCTTCCTGCATGTAGTGCATTTGCTGTTGCCATGTTGAGCTTCCTTCAGAGGAATCATGACACGAGAAATAACATTTTGGTCATTTCATTTATTTCCTTAGTTGTTTTGTTCAATGCTATATGCTAGTAATGAGGAGTAACTCTGCAAGAGAAAATTAACCCATTGCTAGTTTGCTCTGCTGAGGCTTGAGATCCATGTGAGGTTTGAGGGCCATGTTTCTGTTGGCTGCCCTGGAGAGAAGATACAAAATTGGAAAGGGAAAGAGAAGGGAGTAGGGTCACTACAGCACCATGGTCTAGGAAACCTTTGCCTTTGCCTCTGGCTAAGTTGCACTCTGTTCTGCTGGAAGAGTTGAATTTCTGCTTTCTTATCACAGCCAAAACAGCTTGTTTGTAATTTCTCTCTTTTTTTCTGCTGTTTGTTTTAAAACACTCAGCCCATGAATTACAACAAGTCTCTAGTTTTGACCTCTAAAGAAGGTTTCTTCCTTTAGATCAGTGAGGTGGAAAGGTGGAAAAATCAGAGTAGCTGATTACAGGCAAAAAGATGGAGCAGGAAGTGGTTTTGCAGAACAGAATATAATTTACTACCACAAGTATTATGTGAGTTCCCTTCCCATGCTGGATATTTTGCTCCTCAGAGGAAATAATAGGGTCTTCCCTTCAGTGTGACACTTGTGAGCTTTACAAATGAGATGAACATCTTCACATTCATTTCTACAGGTGGGAAAGCTGAGGCACAAAGAGTGAGGAAGTGATTTGTCCTGCCTTTCCACAGGAAAGTTCATGAGCCCATTTTTTCTGTGTCCTGGTCCACAGCTCATCCATCTGGCTTATGGAACAAGAGCTGTGTGCTGCTGCTGTTGCCAGTCACACACCTTCTGTATTTGCAGATTTGCTTCACTTTATCCTCCCAGCACTCAGTTTTCTCTCTGATTTCAGAGGTTTCCTGTTCTCTTGCCCAGCCAGACACTTTTCTATAAGATGAACCCTGTGTTTTCCCTTTCATTTCCTGTCCCCGCCAGCGTCTCTTATGTCACTAATTATTCAGACTCTATTTTGATTTATAAAATGTACTGCCAGTATCACAGAGATGTTCTGAAGGCCCTGCCTGAGCAGAGATGTTCCTTTGTGTAAGTGTCATACAAATGCAGAATTACACAGCAAGTAAAACAGCAGTAGAAGTAACCAGACACAGGTAGTAACTACCTCTGGAATTCATGCCTTTGGAAATATTATCTCATATATTTCTGTTGTCTGGGATGTCAACCCTTGAAGGGTTAGGGCTTGGGAGTATCAAAACCCACTTTGGGTCAGAGCCTGGCTTCTCTTCCTCCCTTTTCCAGGAAAAGAGTCAGTTGTGTGGTCTATGTGGCCAAATTGTCCCCCTCAGGATGAGGCATTTGCATGGATGGAACTTGTCTGTGTTACCATCTAAAGGTTATTCCCCATAACAGGCAAAATCACACTGACTTTGTTCTGGTGAGCTCAGGTGTGAAGCCACTTCATGAGGATGTTTCTGTCAGAGCAGATCTCAGATTAAAGCTGGGTTGCTAAAAATATCCACACTTGATAAATCACCTACCCTTTCTCTTGTTCTACACACTTGTAAAGGTGGTGTTATAAAATTATTTTACATTTCCCCCCCCATCATTTTACTTTTTTAAAAGATGTCAAAAGAAAAGTCTGCTCAGGTGAGCTGGGTGGGGTCACCTGTGTCTTCAAAAGGGAAAGCTGTATGGCCCAGGAATGGGTCCAAGATAAATTGTGAGGGATCTGAAAGTTTAGTAGCTCTTTGGTACGATGTGGGTGAAATATGATTGCAGTATTTAGGGATTACAGGATTTTAAATGGAAAAACATCTATGGAGATTTCTTCTAATGTTTGTGTTAAGTCTTCTAAACAGGATTCTGCTCCTTCCTTTGCTTGCCATACTTAACTGCTCCTTTGCATTTTCTACTGTGGTCTGGAAAGAATTCCTTCCTTTCCTCCTCCAAGTCAGTGAATCATTTGTTAATAATATCCAAGTCTGCTTGCTTCCTGATAGATAGACCAAACTGCAGATTTAGAAAGCCTCTGTCTTACTGCTGATACTCACAATAACATTCCAATTTACCCAAAATGGATCTTTTAAGAATATTAATGAGGTATTAGTCTACAGCTATTCAGTCAGCTTGGCATTTCAATTTTTCCATTTGAATTCAGCAGCTTTTCATTTCCTAACACTGCTCAATATGTTCCTTCTCCAGTTTAGAGTGTTGCTCCTGTTGTGATGGACCAGTCTGGGTCAGGGGCATGCTGCACCACCAGGTGACATAATATCTTAGATTAAAAAAAATAGGGTTTTTTGAGTTGAGTTACTGATGGCTTCTGGATAAAAACAGGGCCTTGAGATTTTCTCTTCTTTTTTTTTTTTTTTTTTTTTTTTTTTATTTCTGCATTTTACAGCTTTTACAAGCAGTATGCATATATATATTTTGCAGGCTTAATTTTTTTTTCCCCTCTCTGGGGCAAAACTGAGATGGAATATGTTCTGCCTTGCATCGTAGATGAACAGCTTGTGCATAAGAGTATCTTTTCCTTTTAAAGGTCAAGCACGTACAGATCTGAAGGGATTGAAGTCACAGTTAAGTACAGTCAAGGAAGCTGGACTGGAGTGCTGGGTACAGATGTCATTACGATGCCCAAAGGAATCTATGGCAGCTACACCATCAACATTGCCACCATCCTGGAGTCAGAGAACTTCTTCTTACCAGGGGTTAAATGGCACGGGATTCTTGGCCTTGCCTATGACGCCTTAGCCAAGGTAAACCTTCCTTTCCACGGTGATTGTCTTTCACAATGACAATAAACAGAGATCTGACAATTAAAATAAAGTGTGCAGATGATCTGTCAGCATTAGACTCCCTCCCTTCCAGCCACCCTTTCCGGGATCTTTTATGTTTGTTCCTGAGAGAATTAATTGGTTTGTGGTGGCACCATGCTCGTTCTCATGTGAGGATTTTGGCTTTCTTTGGTGATGAAAACACCGTATTTAGCTCCTCTGGAATGAACAAGCTTTTACAGAGCTTATAGTACTAGAGTATGGGTCTAAAGGCTTCTGGTTATGTGTGAAGGGTGTTATTAGGGCACTGATGACCATCCTCAAGACTTGTCCATGGGCTGATGAACTTACTTGGCAAAGCCCTTGGCAGTTCATTCCAAGACATTCTCCATTCATCAAGTAGAAGTTGAGATGGAGGGGATAGATGGATAATTCCACAACAAATGTTAGCCACAGTGTTTCCCTGAACATAGAGCCAAGCACATCACGGTCTTCTGGAGGTAGGAAATTCAGGGAGAAGTTTAAATTAACCCCCATAATTTATAGCCTAAAGCTTATAACTTTATAATCTAAAACTGAAAACGTGACTGGAATGCTGCATAGTCATAGTTTTCAATTACACACCACAAAGTGAGATCTCTGCAGTCAGAACAAATGATTCAATACTGCCTCACAACTCTGTTTTACTCAAGAGTGGTGTGAGCCTCGTGTTGACTTCTGCTGTTGACTTGACATGTACTGCCAACAGGAAGAGAAGAGCTGCTCTTCAAACTCTGTTTTGGGCAAATAGTGTACTCAGGGCGTTGATTTTTCCCTTCTTCCAATGACTTAAGAGTTGTTGTCTTCTGAGGCTGCTCTGTCTTTGTGCATTAAGAGCCCTTGGCCCCTCACACTTGCCAGGGTCTCTGCCCATCAGGAGACCTACATGCTCAGAAACCTGAATTACAGTGAGGTTGCAATGCTCTGATAACTGCAAAGCAAAGCACAACACGCAGTGTAGGGAAGAACCTGTTGGCCAGCAGTCAGCTCAAGTGAGCGTGCTTGGACATGAAATTCCTCAAAAGGAAGAAAAGGAATTAAGGGGCCATTGAATAAAAAGTTTGTTAGAATTAAATTATTTTGGAAAAACTGAAAACTTTGACCTTAAAATTTTGCCTCTTAGCTGTGGAAAAGTGTGAAGGGCAAGTTAACATTTGTCTGTTCTAATAAGCCAGAGCCTTTTCCAACTGGAAAACATTGGTGAGAGTTTGTGCCTGAAACCAGTATTTGAGTTTGAAAACTGCAATTGAAAATTACTCTTGTGCTTTAGGGATTTGGTGGCAGCAACAGTGACAGTGGTCAAGAGTAAAAATGTTTTTAAAAACAACAGAAACAGAAAAATGACAGATGTTGTGTTTTAATGACTTATTATATCTAGAACTTTCATCACCTTGTTGTCAGAAATTCAATTTACTCGTGAAAAGTGGTCTTGTTTGAATGATTTGCTGATTTCTGCAAAGCAGCTTTGTAACGAATCCTGCGATTCTTCCGTTTTTTCTTGTTTTGTTTGGTTTTTCAACACCTTCAAGCCTTCAAGTTCCGTGGAGACGTTCTTTGACTCTCTTGTGAGGCAGGCAAAGATCCCCAACATCTTCTCCTTGCAGATGTGTGGTGCTGGACTCCCTGTTTCTGGAAGTGGTACCAACGGAGGTAGTCTTGTGGGTATCTGTCAATCGGAGAGGGAAGATGTATCTTTGTTAATCTCTCTCCCTCTTTTCTGTGGCTATCCTACTTCTGCCAAATTTAGTGTTTAAATATATGACATTTTCTATTTTTTTTTTTAAGGAAAAGTTAAACCCTTAGGCAAAACTCAAGTGTCTTATCTATTTTCATTCTCAATTCTTCTTTTTCTCTCTCGAGTCTGAGTAAACTTCTCTTCTTTTAACAAAGAAAAACATAAAGGTTGTGGTGCTTCCTCAGGGCAGATTCTGCTACCTTTCTCAACCTGAGTAGTCCCTTACTCAGCTGATAAACTTGTTTAATCTCATCAAAATATTACAGTAATTTTTTTTACATGATGTGAAAAGGGGGAGAGGAATGAAGGGTCTTTTTTTTTTTTTTTGGTGGTTGTTGACAACATACTACAGGAAAAAATCTGAAGATGAGATCTTGTTACTTTTAGTAACATCATCATCAGTTTTAGGGGGACCAAGAATTGGCCATTATGTACTTGGAGTTGGAATGACTGTTCCCAAATTATGCTGAAACAGGTATATCAGCACAGGAGTTGATCACAAATAGTTATTTTGCAGTGAATTCACATATTCTAAATGTTACTCATGTAGATGAAGCCCAAGAGAGAATTCCCTAATGTTAGTTCAGTGCAAAGTCTGAGAGTCCACTATGCTCCCAGTCATCCTCAACCTAAGTTTTGATGGAAGCCAATAGCGATATCAGTGACAAGATGTTCATATTCCATTTTGGATGTGTGCAAGAAAAATGAAATGCTCTTGAACAGTATTAAAGCTTTCCTGATCTGATAAAGCAAATTCATCATGTGTAAGTTTAATATTCTGTCCCGTTTTTATACATTGCCCATTTTATACATTGCCCTGAAGATTCTGTTTTGATTTTAAACAGCAGAGCTCTCATAATAAAGTCAGTGTGGGCTTTTAGATAAAGATGCTGGTAATTTGGCCCAATATGGGAATTCTGTGTGGCTGAGGCACAGTCTATTTAATGTCTAAATGTTTCATACTGCTTTATTATTGACAACGAGCTTGTCAGTAAAACCCTTACAAATGGTGCTAAATTAAAATGTTGGTGCCCTGAGTATCACAATTAAATATTCCCCTTTCTGCATGTACTTGCCCCAAGAGCTAAACCTCTGGGATTTTAAAGCTTGTGAATTGTTTTCTCCTTTCCCTTAGGTCCTGGGTGGAATTGAACCAAGTCTGTACACGGGGGATATCTGGTACACACCCATCAAAGAGGAGTGGTATTACCAGGTGGAAATTCTCAAACTGGAGGTTGGGGGTCAGAACCTCCAACTGGACTGCAGAGAGGTATTTACCATTCTGTGTTTCAGTCTATATAAATTGCAAGTTTGGTTGAGGAAAAAACACTTAATTGATCGGTTTGGGTCTTTGCAAGCAGATGTGTATCACGGTCTCCTCTGAGAGCTGGTAACTTTGAAAAGAAAATGAGTGGGCCGTGTGAAATTCAGGGTGTCCACCAGACATGCTGAAGTTGCTTCACAGAGGACTTTAACACTCACTGATAGTATTCCAGTAAATTGGGAACTAAGCTGTAATTGTTAAGCCAACAGTCCACTGAAAATCAGGTTGCTGTGGTTTGGGAGGGCTCAGCCTCTTGCGTTGTTCCAGTTGTAACAAAGGTGTCCAAACACTGAAGATGGTGCAATTATTCAGGGAGGCAATAGTCTTTCAACAACTACAGCATATCCTATGTTTTCCTAAGCAAAACCAAATCAAAGAAGTTTAAAGTAGTTCTGGTCAAACAAAGAAAAGGGGAGGGTTTGGACTGTCCCCTGTAGAGCTGTCTGAGCACACAATTCGTGGTGGCAGTGGACGGGTGTTATCCTGGGATGCTTCACAGAGTTCTCATCCTATGCCTCCTTTTTTATCTCATATTTTTGTAATCTACTTTTGATCTCTTACGCCTTGCCAATTGTTATTCCTGATGGATATATTTTCTGGTTTTATTAGTAATAATGTTCTGTTTTGTTGCAATTTTTATTCCAAAGCCATTTCCTTTTTTTTTTTTTTTTTTCCTGCGGAGGATATCTGTGTATGTGTGTGTGTTTTATCTCTTTCTTACCATTGCTTGTTGCTATTCATGTTTTGATTTCAGTTCTGTAATTTTCATGCCCCTATTCCATTAGACATTTGAATTTTATCTTGTAGTTGTGCTCTCTAGTTGGAAATCATTGGGATGTTTTTCTGGCTGGGGTTAAACCATGACAGACATGATAATTCTGAAGGTTTTATAGTTCATATAAATTAAGTGAAATTCATGATTAAAATATTACACGTGCATAAATATTTCCATACAAAATATGGAAATCATTTTGCCATATAAATTATTTAGGATTAGTCACAGCATCTTTCAACTTAAGAAGCAAAACAAGGTCTATTTAAATGCTTTTCTCTATTATACTGTTAGGAAAGCAAAACCGCTGGTCCTCTAACATAAATGTTTGCTTTTCTTTCTTGCCTTTGAAAACAGTCAACATGTTTTTGAACAGGAGCCCTTGTACTAATGGTTTCATCCGTGCTGTTTCCAGAAAGCAACTCACTTAAAAATCCAGCGGTGTGTTTACAAAAGTTTCCTGTTATTGTTGCTGTTTTCTGAGCCGGGGTTTGCTTTCACATTGTGAGTGTTAGCACAGCACGTTGGTCACTGACACACAAGGACTGAGCCTCCCTTGATCACAGGCAATCATCCCACAAAAAAAAAAATCTAGAGGAAGAACAGTAAAACGGAGCTGGTATGATTAAAGTTTGGCTGGTTAGGAGCCTGCAGAGGATGCATGAATCACTGTATGGGATGGTGAACTATGTGCCCTCTCTCCTCTTGGTTGTTTTCTAGGAAATGGAACATTATTTGTAACCTTCACCAGAGACTGCTCCTTTCCTTGCCAGGGAAAAGTTGTCCCCCTGCTTCAGTGCTGGGAATCTGTCCAGTGTTGGAGCACAGCTGTGTCCCTGAGCCCGGCAGGCTGGGGCTGGGAGAAGTCCTGAGCTGCTGGCAGTGCCCCCTGCTTAGGCTGCCCTGGTAAATATTAGCCAGGGAGGCCAAGAAGGCAAGTTGCTGCCAGCACTCTGTACACAGCCCTAGCTGAGCCATCCCACTGCTCCCAGCGTTTTCCATGGGTTATGTCAGTGGTTGACCCTCCCAACTACTTATTTTCCAAGGATGCCAGTGATTGTGTATTTGTGGTACAGATCTGTGTTAACATGGACTCCACAAGGCCTTGATATTCCTCTCCACTCTCTAGAAGTGTTTCTGAGTGTATAATAAATGGTTTCCTGTTTGCTTTTCTGTCGGCTCTGTATGGCAGCCTATAGCAGCTCTTCCAGAAAAGAAGTAATACAGAAATAGCTGCCAGAGCTACTTTTTCACTTTTTGGTGGGTTTTATTTTTGTCACTTCACTAAAGGGACTCCATGTCCATGTGACTTGATAGCATCTAGACCAATGCATTTTAAATTCACTTGCTGTTTGACCTCTTCCTAAGTAGCTTATGCTGTATATTATCTTGTGTGCTATGATTATGCCATAAACATGTCACTGTTCAGTTATATTAATCCTGCTGCCTAAGCTGGCAACAAAAGTAATTAATGCAAACAGCTGTCACTGCTACTTTTCCTTTCTTTTTTTCCCCCCACAGTTTTTAAGGAGTTCATGGAAAAAGTTCTACTTCTTAAAAAGTTTTTATACCTTGTTTACTGTACCCGACGTTTGCTGAAATCTCTTAGTCTGATGGTTAGGGTTTTAATAATAAAAGAAATGTTCACTTGGAGGGGGGTTTTGTGCAGATTCTGAGGCAGCAAGACTGAAATCTGAAGTTTCTTTGTGCTTGCTTTTGTCTGTGTTTCAGCGGTTTTCACCAGTCGAGGGAGAAAGGTGTGGCACTTGTACTCTTGAGCCAGTACCGACGCACAATAAGGCCTGATTTTCTCTGGCTGTGCTTAAATTCGATATGCCAGCCACTAAAACAGTGTTTAGACTGGAGTGAGTTGTCTCCATGGTGGCAGAAACCTTGATTGAGGGCTTAGACATGTGCGCTCAGCACCTGTCTGTAAGGAACATGAAAGTGCTTTTGCCCCCTCGGAGAGGGGCTGGGCTTTACTTCTTTTTTTCCAGCATGTTTTGGCCATTTGCACGGGCTGTGGTGGCACACAGCAATTTCCTGAGTGGTGCAGATAAACTCACTCTTGTGTCTAAGCTGATGGTATCTTGCTTTTGCTCTCAGACTTCATTTGAATTCAAGCTATCAGCTGGAGAGGGCTGCTGACAGGAATGACATGCAGGTCTGGGAAGCCAGCTGCCAAAAAAAAAAAAAAAAGAAAGGAAAGGAACAGCTTTGTTATGGTTATGAAACAGTGGAATCTGCATTACAGTAACTAGAGTCTCCTGTTTTTTCTCTCCCCTCCCCAGTACAATGCTGATAAAGCAATAGTGGACAGTGGAACCACACTCCTTCGTCTGCCAGAGAAAGTCTTCAGTGCTGTGGTGCAGGCAATAGCTCGCACGTCCTTGGTAAGCTGATGGCATTCAATCTGCCCAAAATGTGGGATTCCTATTAAATGATCCCATGATCTTTGAAAGGAGTGTCATCTTTGCTGTCTGCCTTGCAAGTTGTAGGTTTTTAACCTGAGGGGAGCAGAACCTCACCTGGTCCAGTCCTGTTAATAAGTGAGAAATGACTGATGGAAAGGGAGATGTGAAAAGGGAAAGGGAGGAGGGCAAAGGGGGGTCCAAGTACAGATAGAAGTGTGTGTCTGGAAATGCATCAGAAATAGGGCAGAGACAGAGAGTATTTTGTTCTAAGCATTTCAGAAACATAGACATAATCCCTGTTGCTCTGATTCAAAGTATTAAGAGTGCAAAAATCAGTCCTTTCATTCAAAACAGAGTGTTTCTAAAGTAGAGGAACCTGCTGCTGCAAGCAGTTCCTTTCCAAGTATAATGCTTATTGCTGTCTAGAATAAATGCCATTCATTAGGATTATTCCTATCAATAAAGCTGCTTTTGACCTTCATTATTGAATTATTTATGTTCAAAAGCATCTTTCTTTGGAAATAGAGTGGGCTTTAGAAGTAGGGCATGGGGATAGTTCTCTGCATGTAGAGTAGCTGAAGCAGCATTTTCTGGTTAATAAAAACTATTCATAAATTTTCGGTCAATGCAAAGAAGAGAACAACAAGGTTAAAGATGAAGACTAAATCCCAAGTATTTCAGTGTGAACAATTTTGTCACTGTTGTCGTGGATTCACAATCAGACAGTAGCAAATCACAGGAAATCCAGTAAACAGCTTCCCAAAAGACAGAGTGTTTTCCTGTGCACTGATAATTCAAGACTGAGGTCCTTTTCCTACCTGACAGAGAGCAGAGATTTGGCATGAAGTGTTCTTCACTGCCTGCAGGTGTCCAGTATCTGAAATAAATGTACCAGTTACAAGTTCTTCTCTTTGCAAAACACTTCAGTGTTGACATGTACAACTTCAGTCGATGGGGGGGAACTGAAAGAAGCCGCCCCAGAGCTCTTGTAATGGTACCTTGTGGATGGGGCATCCCATGAAGTGGGTCCCAGTGGTTCACAGTCTGCTGCTGGTCAGGACATGACCTGTGAATAGTGGACTGATCAATAAGGTATTAGAGGGGAACCACTCACTCACTCTGCTCAGTGGTTTTTGCTCCTCCTATTAAAAATGCATAAAATAACTCTTCTTTTTCGGGGTTTCTTTTTAATCCCAAGGACCTCACTGCTGTGAGGTCACACCCCCCAAAATTTGGTTTCACAGCTCTAAAAGAAAGGAAGTAGTCTACTAAATAAGAAAGTAGTTATAACCATGTAAGGATTGGAGTCCAGCTGTGTAAGAGCAATGTCAGAAAAATGGGTATTTTCAGCCATTGTACTGCACAGCATCACAACTGGACTCTTAGTCCTCTGTGCTTCTGGCAGGATATGCACCACTGAAACATAAAATCATCTGCTCTAGTCAGACATACCTCCCTGACCACAGGTGAACCAGGTTAACAAGTCCCTGCTCCTATTTGCTTGTTATGATCTTCACAGCCAGATGTCAGTTCCCCCTCAGATATTCTGGGATAACTGCGTGTGGCACATTCCTTTATTCAGCTCCATTAAAAAAACAAGGCAGTGAGCTTTGTGCTCTTCAGTGGTGCAGGTGGGTTTTTAAACCAGACTTATTTGGACTGAAGTCTTTTAAGGGAGCTGCAGTTTGCTCTTGGTAGGTTTGAAGGGTGGTGGTTTTCACAGGTGGGCAGAAATGAGCCACAGAGGGTTGGCTCCTGCTACACCTCACTGAGCCAAAGTCAGAACAGTGTCTACTCACAGCATTAATACAGTGCTGAGATAATTTGTTGAAGAAAGGAAGGTTCAAATAAACCTAAAATCTTTATTTTAATAGCCCTTTAGGAATCATACACTAAAATCTCCCCAATGCATTGCTTCAACATACTTAGAAGTAAGGCAAAGAAAGTCAATGTATTAAGCAGTTTTCCTGGGAAATCAAAGCAGGCACTTAAAGCAGAGCACTTTGCACACTTGGTCTGACCAGTCTAGGTGCTGTCTTGTAATTTTTCTCAGACCACAAGCTCTGCTTTTCAAGACAAAACAGAAAGAGAGAAGAACTGTATTTCTCAACAGGTCTGGCCTGGGACTTAGCTGTGAGGGGCAGAGTGTTCTGCCCTGTGCTGAGGGATGTACTTAAGCTTGCATTGAGAGTTAAGGGTAAAAGCAGCCTGTTTGTGATGGTAAGTCTCCTTGTTTACGTGAGCCAGTGCTTGCTGACCCAAGGAAAAGGATGAGCACTTGAAAGTATGAAGTCTCTGTGCAGCCCTAACAAACATTTCACTGTCAGGTATGTGGGGAGGGCTGAATACCTGTCACCCGTAAAAATGCCATGTTTAAAATGTGTGAGCTGATGTTTACAAAACAATCAATACCACAGATAAATACAAATGAGGAGAGCAGAAAGGCTGGATTCCACCCTTTTTTTTTCACCCAAATGGAAGGCTTTGGCTCTGCAGCCTCAGAACGAGATACTGCCTTGAATGCTGCTTCATGGGGGAATAAAAACCAGCACAAAGCAATGCAGTAAAACAAGGAAGGTTTCTGCTCTGATCTGGCAGCAGGTCAGCTTCAGGGTGCAACAGCATTAGGCAAGATGTTTGTCTTGGCCAAACAAGCTCTGTAGGGGTTTGCTTTTTGCTTTGTTAGTTCCATGGATATATTACAAAGTACTTTTAATCAACCTTATTTCAAAAGCATGTCAGGTTTCACTGGTGCTGAGTGATGGGGCAGCAAAGGAGACTTTCTTCCCATTGACTTGATTCCCTTAGATGCCAGGAGATTTTTGGCTTAGCCCTCGGCTTCAAAACTCTGAAAGCTGGGTGAGAAGCTGGAGATATGTGAGGAAGGGACATCTCTTTATTACATATTCTCATGGTTTGTGTTGTGGTTTGTGTTTTTTATGAAGTGTCTGCTGCTTCAAAACGTTGGTGTTTGGTCAGAGAGGAGGTGGGGGGACACTGAAAGCCCGTTGATGCTTCACACATGTTCAATGGAGCAGTGGAAGCAATGAGACACGAATGGGGAGGAAAGGGAGGGCTAAACTTGACTTTGCATCTTCCTCCTTCTTCCAAGTCGTGCTGGGCTATGACACACCTCAGTTTGGGTGTTGGGGATTGAGTTTTTGTTTTGGTCCTTAAAGAAGCAGCTCAGATTTGTGTTCCTGCTTGAATTTCTCCACGGGAATGATGGAAGTATCGAATAGTGGTAGCATTCACTTACAAAAAATCTATCAAAATATATGCAATATGTAACTATCACTTTTTTTTCTCTCTTTTTTTTTTTTCAATAGATACAGGAATTCTCCTCCGGTTTCTGGACTGGTTCCCAGCTTGCATGCTGGGATAAAACTGAAAGACCCTGGGCCTTATTTCCCAAACTCTCCATTTACCTGAGGGATGAAAACTCCAGTAGGTCGTTTCGGATCTCTATCCTACCACAGGTCTCAACCTTCTTTGTTTATTCACTATGCATTTATTTTTACCATCGTAAAGCACATGCTCTTAAAAAATAGGAACTCTTTTTAGCAGGAATGGAGAACTGGTTTATTGCATACAACGGAAATCTTTTTTTAATCAAATTTTAAATAGGGAAAATAACAAACTTCTCAAACCTAAAATTGAGAAAGAAAAGCAGTTTCCCTCTCAGTGCAGTCCATGTAGTTGAGAACGATTTTTTCAATTTGTCAGGAAAAACAGGCAAGTCTTGTTTTGTTTTCACGAGCTTTAGCCACATCACATGTCAATACAGAATGTCTCTGCTCGTTTTGATCTTCTCCTTTTGGGAAGCAAATTGATTTGCCTTTTTTTGTGGCGTTTTGAGTTGGAGCTCTTCTTCTGAATATGAAAATCTTGGCAATGACCCTTTGTGAGCTCTTGACCAGTTTCTGTAACTTTGTTGGTTTATCTTTTATTAATATGCCATCCCAGCTTTTAGAATATAATGTGCTACTTCTATTTTTCCTCTCTGGCCTCCCCACCCAGTATAGTTTACAGTGCAGGCTGGTATCCTCTAACATTACTAATACAGTCTTTTACCTCAGGGGACAGGCAGGAGCAAAGGAGAGAATGAACCTATTAAGTACATTTTAACTTGAAATATAGTAAAGCCTTATGATAAGCTTTTTCTGTATTGATCATGTGGCTTGGCAGCCATTCATCTTCCCTGAGGAGACAAGGGGTAAAATGTGACTTGAATTTATAAACCTGGAGCCTTGAAGCTGACACTGAATGCTCTCTGAAACAACTCCATCCTGATTACTTTTTAAATAATAAAATGATTCTCTCATTTGAGTTCATATCCCAAGTTCTTTCTGAGCTATCAATCCCTTGTGGAAAATACAGGAAAAAGTGGCTCTTGTGAATTTGCTGTTGACCTTCACATAGTGACTGACTGTGTTCAAATTTAAGCTTATAATCCACGAGCTTTACCTCTCACCTGCATGTGAGCTTTGACCAGTTTTAAACCACGTACAGAAATGTTTGCCCCTATTCATTCTCTAATTCCAGTGGAGTTTGAGTGCTTGACTATAAAAATCAAGGACTGAACTTCTAACTACTGTGTGGTGTGACTTCTTACACTCTGGATCTTTTGTTTGTTTGTTTTAATAGCTCTATATTCAGCCCATCCTTGGAATAGGGGAGAATTTGCAGTGCTACCGATTTGGCATCTCTTCCTCCACAAATGCTCTGGTTATTGGTGCTACAGTCATGGAAGGCTTCTATGTGATATTTGACAGAGCCCAGAGGAGAGTGGGCTTTGCAGTGAGTCCATGTGCAGGTGAGAGAAATATTGCTGAGGACCTGGTGAGTGAGGAAACCCCTGCTGTCTCACAGAAACACCTTTGCTACTTACCTGATGGGGAAAAGCGTGGTTACTCATAAAGTGTGGAGGGTATATTTTTGAGCAATTCCAAGCTATTCACACTTAAAAGGAAGGAAAAAAAAAAAAAAGCAAAAAAAAAAAAAGCTGTGTTGCAACAGTCTTCTGGCATGAAGTGAATCAGCCTCAGCTCTGGGTACCTTCACTGTTGTTCTTCCCTCTCACAGACAGGATCTTCCCAAGACATCTGTCTGTGTGTGCAGTTTCCCCAACAGTTATATCAGATGAGTCCTTGTTTTTAAGGCAGCTTCATTTTTGTGTAGTTCCTGTCCTAAATTGTGGATAAATGGATTCTTCAACTAACTTTTGCAGTGTGCAGTGAAGTACCTTCCTCACACTTTACTCTTAATGTAAGTTGAGCCTGTTCAGCCTCTTGGAAATTCACAAAGAAAGAGCTGAGATGAAAATGGGACTCACATTAAGACTTGTGGTGTTTGTGCGGTTCTAAACAAATAGTTTTGTCAGTGGAAATAGAAAGCCTGAAGTTTTTTAATTAGTTGCTAAGGAGATGTGAAAGAGTTCAGGACTTTTGGAGACAGTCCCATGCAGGAATAAGAGTTGGACTCTGATCCTTGTGGGTCCCTTCCAGCTCAGCATATTCTGTGATAACTTTTGGCTGATTTTACTCTACTGGTTTACTTTCCTTTTCATCATTTCTCTTATCTCACCAAGGGCAGCTAAACCCAAAGGTTTTGGGTTTTCCTCGCCTTGTTGTTCAGACATTGCTTTGGCATCACAAGAACATACAAGTGTGGGAGGAGGGAAAGGATGTGCCCCCATATGCAAGTCTCTGTCCCAAACAGGAGTGGCTTATGCCCTAAAAACCTTGTGTCACCTGAGATTTGCATGAGAAAACGACTAGGACTGACAGTGCTTCTTTAATCTCCAATATCTGTGTTACAGAGCGTAGGGATAGTAAGGATTTGAGTGCTTAGTGCAGCCAGGGAATAGAGGGGGGGAAGAGAAATGCTAGCTGGCCAAACTGTAGCTGTAGGGCATTTTTAAAGCTTCTTTTTTATTTTATTTTATTTTATTTTTTGTAATGTCTCCATTGTTAATGGGTTCAGAATTGTCAGTTTTGAGCTTGCTACGGAAGAAAATCAGGATATTGGTATGGGTTGCTCAATGCAGGTACCGTGCAGGGCTGAAAGACACGTTTTAAATGCACCTGGCAGAAAGGAGAGTGTGACCAGACAAATGCTGCAGGCCAGGCTCTCCCTGTCTTTCACTCTTCCCTGTGCTTCTTTGTTGCAGTTTTAGCAAGTGTAGAGCTGCCTCCTGTCCCCTGTCACAGCGCAGCCATTTAGTGGAGCATTTTGACAGGACTTATTGATCGAGGTGTGACGGTCAGCAGGGGACAGGAGCCAGCTGGTGGGCGTGAGAACTGCTTTGACAGCACTCCTCTGCTGAGAAAAACAATCAGGGAACCATCATAATAACAACCACCTTAGTGTTAACACCGCTACCTGGAAGATGGTTTGGCCACTTCACGTGGTTCTGCCAGGCTCGTCTAGAGAGGAAGAACTGCTGGATGGAAATGAAATGCAGTTGGAATTTAGGTGAGCTTGGGCACGTGATTGTGCCCAGCTGGTGCTGGAAGACGTTTCCTCCTCGCCTCTCTGTCCACATTCCATGCATATGTCCAACCAGGCATCACTGGGACTGAGCTTCCTGAGGAATCAGATGACTGCCTGAGGCAAGACACGCTGATTTGTCACATTCCACTCACGTGGGGCAGATGACATTTCGCTGGATGTGCCAGTTATTCTGAATTCGCTCCCTCACAGCTTGTGGTTTCCATATTTAACGCTGCTTCCATCAGAAAGCCACAGCTGTGAGTGGTGAGTGTCGGTGCAGTGTGAGGGATTAAGCTGCCTAACTGGCTTCCTGTGGAGGCCAGCCTTGTCCTCCATAGCAACTATATTAATGTAATTTATTTGGAGCTTTTTAAGGCTGTCCGTGGGCATAAATTAAACTGAGTTGCTGGGGGCATAAATCTTCAGAAACAGAGAAATATAAAAGGCCGTTTGGTGTGGCTTTCGCAATGACCTTGTGCTTTCTTAAAGCCAACATTAAATTAAATCCGTGTTTTTGTAAGGTGTTAAACTGGTACCTGCTGGATGCAAAAATCATGGGAACAGGATTAAAAACCTTAATTTCATTGAACTCCCAAGTTACTGTTGAGGCTTGGCTACAAATAAGAACTGGTTTATCCCACACTAGTCCTTGGACCATTTTAATTCTCCAGGATATTCCAAGAAGGAGGAAAGTTAGATAGATGGCTGCAGCTATTCCATTGTAGCAGGAAAAGAAACTTGCTTTTTCCTCAGTATGTGAAACCATTTAAGACTTACTCAGGCAAATAGTTTCAAGTTGCCTTTTGATAACTTGCTTACCAGGTGACTAGGAAAGGTTTTGGGATCAGGTCCCTTCTTGAGACAGTATGTTCAGATCAATGAGTTAGTTTTAGTGATTTCCAGGGGCCCTTTCCAAGCTGCACTTCATAATTTTATGATAAATTTGATAGAATTCCAGGTTAATTTCCTTTGCAAACCACCCAGGTTGGTTAGTGAGTGTGAGTGTATTAAGTTCTACACAAATGTTAGAAAAGGGTATGTTTCCAGAGGTGCCTTTCCTGTCCTGTAATCATCAATAATGAAGAAAATCTCACTTATTCAAGGTTATAAAAGTCCTGTAGGTAGCTACCACCACATGTTCTAAGAAAATACCCCAAAATATCTTAACTCAGTTAATGTGTAATATGCTAAGCGCCTGTGACTCGTAGTTTATGTTCAGGGCTTGTTTGAACAATTTAGGCAAATTAGCCCTGAAGCTCTCTGGGGGTGGAAGAGTGTGAGGGAAAACTTTTTTATTTTCAGAGGGAAGAAAGCAGAAGCCGTGCTGCTATCAGACATTCTCAAAATGTAATTTAAAATGTCAGCCACTATGGCAACAGTTTTGTATTGCCTTTTCTAATAGGAGTAATTATTGCACTCAAGGCAAATAATGAGTAATTAGAGACTGTTTATTTTCAAAGCTCTCTGCAAGGTGGAAAATTGTACTGCCTTTTTTTTTTCCTTCACTTCTCCAAAATACTACTAAGTAGTAATACTTAGGCCTTGCATTTCACACTAGTATTAAATGTGGTTTAGTTTGCTGCAGAACTTCATAGAGACAAGTGAAAGAGGGGGTGAGAGGGTGAGATGTCCAGAAGAAACAATTGCAGGACAGACAAAGCACAGTCCTGGGACTCTGAACAAAAAGGATTTCTACCACTGACTTTCTAGGCAGTCTTTTACCATCTGGTAAATTTAAAGAATCTGTGTTTGATGTTCACCAGTGTCAGGGTGCTGTGGGTGCAGCCTTAGTCCGCTCTGTGTAAAGGAGTCTTCTTCCCACACTTACAGCTGGAGAAGGTTTGGTTCAGTTGGGTGATCCTACAGAAAATTCCCTTTTTGAGCATTTTTTTCACTCTGATAGATTGGTTTTCCATCTGATCTGCGAGTTGCAGCACCAGCCCACAGTTATTAAGTCTAGTAAGACCTAAATCTTAAAGTAATACAAGGTGCTGTGAGGCCAGGGACTGAATACGAACTGAAAACTATGCAGGTAGAGCAACCAACCTGTTCTGCATTTGTTTGTCCACAAAGAACCTTAAAGTTCACCTTTCCTGCCTTTGTAAAACCTTTCCTTCCAACAGGTGCTCTATGTTAATCTCTTTAAACATGGTTTCAGCAGTCATGACTGAGATGTGTAAATAAGAGATACTGTTTTCAGTAGGTGGGGTCACTTACAATTGAGCAAGAGTGCATCTGTATATAAAATGAAAAAAGAAATCAAGCAGGACAAGTAAAACAGAGGCCTTTATTAAAAATGCTCAAAAGTGTCTTGAAGTATCTGACTGGAGAAGTGGATTACAGCTGTTTGGAAGGCTTCTTAAAATGCACAGAGAGTGCTGACTGCAGACTCCTTGTTGCCCCAAGCAAGCTGAAAGGTCTCCATCCTTTCCCCAGCCACACACCTGAAGGTACAAAATGCTCCCAATATTTTGTTGCCCCAGGTAACTCACTTGCTCTGCCATTACAGCGCCCTCAGCCCCGTCCACAACTCAGGGGAACTTGGCTGTGCCTGCCACGGTTACTGTGACAACCATGGGCAGCCTGACCTTTTTTAGCACATCCTGGTTCAACAAGTAAGGGGGCTGTGATGGCAATGAAATGAAGTCACACAGTCTTTGATGTTGCTGAGATGGATGGCTGTTCAAAAACGGAGCTGCCAGGGCACCCCTTCGTGCTTCTTGCCTCCGTTTTGTCGTCGTTTTTTGAGCTGCTTGGTTAGTTCCCCCTCCCTGCCCAACAGCGCTGCTCCTTCGTGTCCCAGCTCCTCATTCCTGGCACTGACCTCCCTCTACGCCGTTCCCCTTTTTGGGCAGCTGTCACCCAGCTCTCCTGCCTCACCTCCCCTTCCTTCTGAGTTTTCACCTCCTCCCACAAGAGTGTCTTTGCTGGTTTCCACCCTGCACCTCGTGTTTGGGGTACAGTGCTGTAAGGGAACCTGCTTGCTGCTCCCTAAGACCCTGGGAAACAGCAAACACAGAAGACACAGGAATCATCTGAGGTACTTTGCCAGTTGCTGGAAATGGCAGAAACAAACAAAAGCTGCCCTGGCTCTGGCCTACACCAGTGTAGATGTTGTAGGATATTTAAATAGGCATTTCTGACAGGTTAGTCCAGAGAGAAAATAAAGCGATCCAGGGGTTTGGGCTCTGACTGTGGCTGTGGGAGAGCTGATTCAAATGTCTGTTCTTTCATAGACAGCCTGTGTAGATGTGGGAGTGCCACAACCTCCTTATGCTTCAGATTCCCTTTTCATAAACATGGGATTGTAGCATTTCTGTTACAATGAAAAATACAATAAAACATGAATATGCTGAGATGTGTGATGATGGAGGGAAGAGATATACAGGTATTTAGGCTAGAGCTCTTTGTTATTTGCTTTTAAATGCTGTCTGTAGGCTTAATGCACCTTTTCCTTTTTGCATTTTCTCAGAGGTTGATGGCTCTCCAGTCTCTGAGATTGAAGGCCCTTTCACAACAGCAGATGTTGCGAGCAACTGTGTTTCCAGCGTTTCTTTCCACGAGCCGGTGTTGTGGATTGCCTCCTACGCTCTCATGAGCCTGTGTGGAGTGATCCTCCTCGTACTGATTGTCCTGCTGCTCATCCCGCCCCGGTGCCAGCACCGCTACACGGACAATGACGTGGTCAACGACGAGTCCTCCCTAGTGCGTCACCGGTGGAAGTGACAAACTCCATCCTGAAACCTGGGACTCCAACAGAACAAAGAACAGAGAACTTTGCCAAGGGGAAGAAGCCAATGCCTCGGTCCTTTCTACGTCCATTGCGAATTTGCTGTTGAAACCCCACCGAATATCCTGCATCGTAACTTTTATAGCTTTATTTTCTAACACTGATTCTGAACCAAAGCACTGTTAACCACCTCTGAAGTGCTACGGTACTGGATTTGCTACTGCAGTGCAATTGAGCCTTTATGCTCTCAACAGTACCTTCTTTAAAAAAAAAAAAATCTAAAGAAAAAGATTAAGAAAAAAAAAGATAAAAAACCACACCATCATGTTCTTCCACTGTCTGAACAAAACTGTCCATCTCTCTTTCACAAAAAAGGACCTGTCAGTATTTTCTAACTAATCAAGCCCTGACTGTAGAAAAAGAGAAAAAAAAAACAATTTAATAATCTTTCTTATTAATTGCATTAAATGAATCATGCTTTCTGTTTACACCAATTTATTTTGAAACTGTGCTGATGGTGCGGGGGAGGGAGAAAAGTCAGGCGTAAGCAGCAGGGAAAAGCAAGTGAGGTCAAGAGGAAATGTTGGTTTGTGGTTTCTTTTCCTCAAGATCACTGCTGCCACTTGAGAGGGTCACCCTCCCTGAGTGTTACAAAACAGCTCGAGGTGGTGAAAACTGGGTAAACAAACTTGTTCAGCCTTAGTGTCAAACAAGACTACCTCTCTTAATTCACAAGGATGCTACCACTGGTGAGCGTGGGGCTTAGAACTGGTCTTGAAGCACAAGATGCTCCATCCAACCAAATGGAACTGCTTGGTTTTGAATTTTTTTTGGATTTTATAAAAAATTAATACTTCGTGACTTTCCACTTTGGTGCACAAACAAAACAAACAAAAAAAGCCTTTCAGTTTTCCCCCTCAGGTGGGATTTGTTTGGGTTTTTTTGAGTTGAGGCTGACTGATACTTAGAAAAGGCTGATCTGCATATGTATGGGCAGGCAATAAAGCAAAGGTCTGTGTTCTGTGACATCTTTCTCTATTTCTAGTGAGTGTGTAACTAAAAGGAAACAACAAAATAAGAAAGACAACCTTTTTTTTTTTTTTTGCTGAGCTCAGCAATCATGAGTTCAAAAGAGAAGTATCTGTCTTTATGGACAGGTTGTGAAGTGAAAGTCTTAATGCTGGCTTGTTTTCCAACTCGAGCAGCAGTTGGAGGTGTTTTGTTTTAGCTTCACTGCTGTCAATCAAAAGAAAAGTGTGTGTGGACTGACTGGTTGAAAACAAACATATGGTGAGACTGAAAACAATAGTGGGAGAGAGCAGGGAAGAGTATATTTGACCAGATTTCCATTCTGCAAGTGCAGATATTAATGCTGGGGTCAGAACTTGGGCTTTTCTTTGCAGATAGGACAGTTTTTCTTGTCTCTAGTCAGTGAGCACTGCGGGACCTCCGTGGCTTCTCTGTAACAGTGGACAATGATTGGATTTGAAAGATAAACAATGCAAGGTTGAGGATTTCACTGGGAAGTTATTTTGGGAAGTATTTTTATATATATGAATAAAAGGAAAAAGTTATTCCTTTGCCTTCTGATAGAAGAGCAGTTTGCATATCCATGTGGGAAACAAGGAGAGGGAAAGAAAAAATAAGGAAGCTTAACTCTGAATTTCCCAATCCCTTGCCTAGACAGTTTTCTGCCTCTAATCCCTTCATATAGCTCTCTGATTCACACTGCCTCTGCATCTGACTCTGCATGGAATAAGGAAAGATTTCTGGGGCTTTTTTTCAGGAAGGGTGCGTTTACAGAGGTGCGCGTCATGTGTGTGAAAATAAAACACTGCGGGGGTATTTTTAACTAACTTGTGTGTTTCACGTCATAACTGGCAGTGCCTGTGGTTTTCTTTCCCTTTTAATACTTGCACTTTCAGATTGCTTGGCTCAACAGGGTGAGGTAATTGATGTGGTGATCCAACGTCTGAAAATTATTTCTCTTGGAATTTGGAGCTGGAAACAAACGGGAATTTTTGAGTTTGTCTCCTTCTTCCTCTGCCTCTTGGTTTTTAAGAGGAGAAAAATTGTGACTACAAGAAATATAAGAAACTATAGAGCTTAGCTGTTTTGCCAGTGTTCTATTTTCCATATCTTTTAACATCTCATAACTATCCTGGGTTTGGCTTTACACATAACAAATAATTTCCAAGTTTTATTCCTCCTTCTTCTACAGTGTGGCAATAGAAGCAATGCTTCTGTCTCCTGTTTTGAACAGAAACACAGTCTGAATTTTGGATTGATGCAGTGTCAAACAATAAACCCTCTTCCAACTGAGAAAGTAGTAACACTTGTACGCTCTTAAAAGATTTCATCTCTGCTTCCCTCAGCCCAGCCCCTCCTATCTCCTTACCACAAAGAGTTTTAGGAAGGAATTTATTGGGAAAGGTTCTGAGTATGTTTCTAGTGCCAGCTGAGATTTCGTCTGAGCTGGTTAACAAAAGTCCTTTTGGTGCACTGGATTTCGTATAAAAGCCTTTCAGCTTTACCCTCTCACTTTGAATGCCACCGGTCAAGCTATTTTAGTACAAACACTTGAATTATGGGAGCAATAATCAAGCAGCACAAAGGAAATACTAACATATTCCTGAGCTTCCATGGCTCTCCTTGCCACTAACATTTGGCTTGTAGTAAAAATGCTGTTAGTGGCATCTGCTAGCAGCACAAACTTCATCTTAGCTTGTAAATTGATACTTACACTGGCAGATATTCAGGTGAGTATTGCTTTGTTGCTCTGGCAACAAGAAGAGCAATAGAAAACCCCTGAGGTTCATTTTTAGCCTACAGCACATTAAGAGAAATAATGCTCTTGAGCATTTTTGTGTGGAAGATGAAATACAGTGGCAGACTACAGTATTACCAAGTGTGTGTCACTAGTGATCTCTCTCTCTTATATCTTTAAAGAAAAAAAAATATGCTGGGAGGTATTTTATGCTCCTGTTACTAACTTCAGATGTAAGATTAAACCACCCCTTAAAAAAAAAAAAAAAAAAGGGGAGTGAGGGCACAAAAAAGCTGGAGCATTGAGTAAAAACAGTGCTGGAAAATATCCTGTATTTATTGAGGAAGGCAGGATGCCCCAAGCCACAGCACTCCACATCATTCCTTGTACAGGGATCAATATTACTTGCTGAACCAGCCTTTTTCTGATGTGGATGTGATGTCACATACCATGAGAGTGTCAGAAAGCTGCCTTTCACTGGGTGCAGCCTTTCAGGTAATTGATACAATCGGTGCAATCAAGAGGGGTTTGAAGGGCTGTGATTTGAGTTCGACTGGTTAAACCTGAGTTCAGGCAGGGGAATATCTTGGTTCTATCCCACTGCCTTCATAAGTTTTAGAAATGCTATCAGGGGCTTTTCTGAATAAGCCTTTTGTTCAGGTTCTGTAAAAGAAGGGGTAGAGGGGATTGTTTTGTTTTTTAAGCTGAAAGGGCTTTTGTGTTTAGGATTTGTATATTGGATCAACTAAATACATCAAGGCAGTGCAGCATTCCAGTTCCCAGCTCTGATGCTGTGCAGGTGATCACAGAACTGTGGGGTTTGGGATCTCTGGTTAAACACGTCAGGTGCCTGACAACAGTTAAATTTAACAGCTAAAATCAACCTATGAGCATCCTACCCAGTTCCTTACCATGTATTGGCTGGTTTCACTCAAGGATGAGCCATTTGCCTGCTAACCTTGTCCTTTTAAATATTTAAAGGCTTAGGAGAGTTGCTTAACACAGCAGATTTTCAGAGAGAGAGAGGTCCCTAAAGTTTCTGAAAATACAGAATGATTGTGCTGCTGAAAGCTTTAATTCCTGTAGGGCTTTCCATCAGCTGGGTTGGTTGGTTGTGATATCCTGATCTCAAATGTACATTTAAGTAGCAATATGAGCTGTGTAATGAAGGGTGCTGGTAACAGTGACCTATGGAGCTGCAAGTGAAAGGAAATTATGGAAAGAAAAGAAGTAAGCTACCTTTGACTTCATTAAAAATTGCAAGAGCATAACAGATTGATCCTTTTAAGAAAGAGCTGTACAATTTACCAAGACATTAGTTCCTGTCAAACTTGACTCTGTGATTGATAAATTGTTCTTTTCTGGCTGCTGTAGTTCTTGCTGCTGTTCAGAGAAGCGAAGACAGATTGGTAACAGGATACGAGCAATCTTCTGAGCCAGTTAGATCTTCTGGCTTCTGAGGCCTAATTAGATGTTAATCCAGGCTTGTGAGCAATCCAGCATCCTGGTCAATAGCTCCTCAGGAATGTTAGCAGAAACAGAGGTGTTGGGTTTCAGCCCAACGAGGCATCTGTCCCACAAAAGCCACTGCTATGACCTGCACTTGTGGTGAGCTGAAGGTGGCTGGAGGTGTGAAATGTAGAGAGGTTAAATATCTGAGTCTTCTGCCAGGCCTCCAGATCAAGGCTGAGTCTCCTTGGAAGAGCCAAATGGGAGAGCGACAGCAGTTGCTGACAAGCTGCTGTGGGAGTAACATCAAGTCAGCCCCTGGGGTTCACTTGCCTGAATATTTTGAAAACCAGCATTCTAAAGTGCCTGTTGGTGCTACTGGGAATTATCTGCTCACAGATGAATAAGAGGCACTATCATCTTTAAGTAGAATCATTGCCCAGTCGCTGAATATTCCCCTCTCTGTATAACAAAGCACACGGTGCTGTCTCACCCCCACGGCAATATCTGTTCATAAGCAACAAGACACGTTATCATAAAACATGTTGACATCAATGACTGTACAGTAGTAATAAAAGAATGTTTTGTGTTTGCTTTGGGTGGATATTTGTGGTCGGGTAGTCTTTGAAATACTGGGAATTTTACATTAGACTGCAAAGGCACATGTAGAGTTTCTTTTAAGTTGGACAAAAAGTAAAACACAGAAGGTAATTTTCAGCATTTAAAGGGAAGTAGCCCTTAATAAGTGTTCTCTCCTTTTTTTTTAGTTGATGATAATCACCTAAAATAAATGTATGTTTGGATAGTTGCTGTCCTGCTAATTCTCTGCTTGTAAATCTGATTTTTCTGATTGTTTTCTGGCCCACTCAACCCCTCTCCCCCTGCAAAAACATTCCTAAAAGCTGAAGATGTCCATGTCCAAAATTCGACCTTCTAACAAAATATGCAGATTTTTTTTTTTTTTTTTTTTTACCATTCACAGACCTGTTTTAAAGTACCTTTTAAGTCTTTAGAAATTAACTCTGGGTTGCCAATACTCACAGGAGTATTAGGAGAAGAACTAGAGCCAAAACTTCATCTTTTCCAATGGTCTCCACGTTTTTCTGTGTGCAAAGAACTCCTTTGTGCATTTGACTACACTTCCTAGACCTCTTTTGCTTCCCACGTGGAAATACTCTCGTTATTCCTCACTGGTCCTGTTTGTAAATTCTTTTTCTCTGTCCTCAGGAAATACTGGGGTGGAGAAAAGGACCACAAGGAGCTGTGGGAGTTGGGGCCATTCCTTAATCAGGTGACAGCTTCTTCCTTGAAGGCCTTGGTGTTTTTTGTCCAACACCAACCTCACTGGACCATTATGGTCTGTTGGCTCATTCTGATGGCAGAGACACTTCTGCTCCTTCCAGCTGAGCAACTCAACCTGCTCTGATTTTACAGCAACGTGTACTTAGGCAAAACACTTCAATAAACACTATTTGTAATAATCCTCTCATCACACCCCCTTTAACTAGGGAAATTTTCACAGAGCCAAGCCAAACCTGCGAAGGGGATGTTTATTCCTGTGTTTTCAGGAAGGGATTATGTAGGTGAGTGTTTAAATGGCTGCATTTGCAATGTAGCTGTCCTCTGGAAAATTCTGTGGGGGTAGAAAAATGAGACTTGAGAATGCTGAAGTGGTCCTAAGAAGTACAGCTGACGATTTCTTGGCAGCATGAAGGCATGGATTGCTGCAATATGTCCTGGAAAGAAATTGCTTTGATAGCCAGTATTCTGTGCGTGCATAAACTGTACAAAGTCGAGTGTTCAAATAAGACTGAATCTGAAACAGGCAGTTCACACTTTTTATTGAAAGTTTTATATGGAGATGCAGAGGTCTATTAAAACTTTAATACTACATCAGTTGTTATTTCATAGTTATTTAGGAAGTGTGGAAAGGCTTTCACCGTTAAGGAAATTACTTCATCTTGTAGAGGCATTTCTTCACCTGTTTTTTTGTTTGTTTGGGGTTTTTTTAATCAGGTAATATTTTTTAACAATTGACTGAAAGGAAATCAAGGGATCAAAACGTCAAAAAAAAAGTGGTACAGTCTTTCTAATTCAGGCTTCAGGTGATGTTACGATGTCTATCCCACTTACTGTCAAGCCTCATTATTCAATTTTCAAAAACAATTGATACTTTGTACTTTCAGGTCTTGCCATTTTCAGACAAACACTATGTAAAAGATCAAATTTTATGCTGCTTAAAATAAATGATTAATTCTTTCAACCTATTCTGTGTCTTTTTAAACCCTGTCAGGATGAACTTCAAAGCTGATAAATTTTATCTGTCCAAGTTCTTCCTGTGACTTTCAGTCCTACCTTCGGGCTTTAGCTCTGGAGGGAGAGCAGGACTGCTTTAGATCCCGTCTGAGCCTTGCAGGGAGGAGGCAGGCAAGTCTGGTTCCAAGGTGATTTTTCCTGCTTATTCCCAAATACGCAGGAAATAAATATTCTTGCTTCAGCTTTTCGTCAGTTCCTTTCAGCATTGCACAGAATCGGGAAAGGAAAACGTGAAGTTGAGAAGACGAAGCTTCTGATCATTTGGAAGGGATTCAAATCCCATTTTGGATTGTCGCTGTCTGCTTCACTGTGGATGAGGAAGGGACACAAGTCGATGTCCCTGTCCCCAAGGCAGGGAGCCACCCCCTGCTCTGTGCTCCTCATCCCGCCAGGTGGAGCCCACGGCGTGTTTTTCAAACCGAGTTCTGAGCCCCTTCACAGCATTTTCCTTTTCTTGTTTGAATTCTAATAAAAGTACTTTCATTTTTCTTTTTAAAACATCCTTCCTGAAAGGTCCTCAGCTCAGGGTCTTCTGATCGTTTAGTCATATCCCTCTTCCCTCCACCTAAAAGCCTCTTTAAAAAGTCCATAATTTTTAAGCCCTGAGCTTTTTAAAGGTAGCACAATGTACTGTGCATGTTGGGAAATTTAGGGGATTGGTCAAGTGAGACAGCGTAGCACCAGCTATTTCATACTTTTCCTTCAGGAAGCTGGCTGGTTTTGCTTATTATTTGTCCTGATATTCAGTGAAGCCTCTCTATGTGTTGGAACAGATTGTCCGGAGAAACTGTGGACGCCTCATCCCTGGAAGTGTTCAAGGCCAGGGTGGATGCGGCTCTGAGCAACCTGGGATACTGGAAGGTCAGGGGTTTGGAGCTAGATTATCTTTCTACAGTTCTGTAATTACACAGCTCTGCTCACAGGGCCACTGCACAACTTCTCGTTCTTGTGCTTGAACTGCTCTTGAAATTGCCGTCATCTTCAGAGCACCTTTCGTGCTTCAGGCTCATGGAATTCAAAACTGTAAAACTGTTCATTCCACCCTCTTCTTGTTCATCTTCCTTCATTAAAGCTGCCCTGTTTAGACAAAATAGCTTTTAAGTTCCTGTGTGAAACACAAAAGAAGTTACTGCAAGAATATGGCTTTTTTGGTAATGACAGTGCAGTGTAGACAAACATGTGAAGGTTTGCAATTCAAGTGCTCAATAAAATTTTTCAGGACAATGTGTGATTCTGATGGAAAATTAAACAGCAAACATTAACTATCCTTCCCTTTCTGCACCAAAACAAACTCTTTAAAATAAATGGTTGGGGTTTTTGTGTGGTGTTTTTTTCCCTTCTAGAGGCTTACAAGTACCATCTGTCTATACCTTGACTCATCATTGGTTTGTGTAGAAAATTCAATAGCATTTCCCATGAAATACAGGTTATTTTAAAGACTACAAGGATCTGTGCTGCCAGTACCTACACAGATATTAGCATATTGGATTTTTATAGTTGTTAGCTTGATAAAGCTGCTCTTTATGTACAAACAAGGTATTGTGATTCTTCAGATATGTTCTTCTCATGCACCCAGAATTGTTCTGAAGTGCTATGAGTAGGAACATTATTTACTTTCCCTTTGAGTGTTTTTTAATTGTAAGTTTAACATTAACTTCCAACGGGATGAAGTTCAACAAGGCCAAGTGCCGGGTCCTGCCCTTTGGCCACAACAACCCCTGCAGCGCTACAGGCTGGGACAGAGTGGCTGGAGAGCAGCCAGGCAGAAAGGGACCTGCAAGTTTAGATTGACAGAAGCTGAACATGAGCCAGCAGTGTGCCCAGGTGGCCAAGAGGGCCAGTGACATCCTGGTCTGCATCAAGAACAGTGTGGCAGCAGGAGCAGGGAAGTGATTCTTGCCCTGTACTCAGCGCTGGGGAGGCCACACCTTGAGTTTTGTGTTCAGCTCTGGGCCCCTCAGCTCAGGAAGGACATGGAGGGGCTGGAGCAGGTCCAGAGAAGAGCAACCAGGCTGGTGAAGGGACTTGAGCACAAGTCCTATGAGGAGAGGCTGAGGGAGCTGGGGTCGTTTAGTCTAGAGAAGAGGAGGCTCAGGGGAGACCTCATCACTCTCTACAACTCCCTGAGAGGAGGTTGTAGCCAGGTGGGGGTTGGTCTCTTCTCCCAGGCAATCAGCAATAGGACAAGAGGGCACGGGCTTAAGCTCTGCCAGGGGAGGTTTAGGTTGGATATTAGAAAGAAGTTCTTTACAGAGAGAGTGATCAGGCATTGGAATGGCCAGAGAGGTGGTGGATTCACCGTCCCTGGAGGTTTCTAAGACAAGGCTGGATGTGGCACTGAGTGCCATGATCTGGTAATCACAGTGGGGTTGGATCAAGGGTTGGACTTGATGATCTCAGAGGTCTCTTCCAACCCAGTCAATTCTGTGATTCTATGATTCAGCTTTCTGTATTCTTAATGTATGAGGGTTGGTTTTTTTATTGTTGTGCATCTTGAACAAACTCCAGGCTTGTTTCTTATATTGATTTTTAACTGCTGGTGCATTTTTAGTATCCCCTGACTAACTAATACCCACCTTTTCCCCACACTGTTCTGAAGTACTGACCCACTGTGACTGCTCATGTCCCCACCCCAGGTAAGGTGTTACCTTTTTTCTCTCTTCCCCTTGTCTAGAAGACAGGAGAAAATCCAGCTCTCTCAATGTCTGTGCAGATTGGGCTTCAAAAATGTATTTCTTATGGGGTTTTTTTTCTCTTTTAGATCCCCATCATCATCTTCTGGTGACCTGAGCCCGTCATGGTGGAGACACCTTGTGTTGGCAGAATGGATCAGGGAGAAGCTCCAGGACATACCATGGGATGTCACCAAGCTGCAAGTGCTTTGGGACTGTTGATAGAAGGGATCTCACCAATCCAGCTCCCTCTGGTAAATCTCCACTTGATGGAGTGGTCCTGCAGAACTGTCTGGGATTGCACAGGGTCTGTGCTCACAGGGACCTGAGGGCTCAATCAGTGTGTTGACAGCTGCATTTCAGGGAAACAGTCAGCAGATATCCTGAAAGATTGTGCAAAGCCATGTGAAAACACCCAGCATTTAATAGAAGGATTTTCCCCTCCCTCTCATTTTGCCCTTTTCCCTACCCTTGCCTTTCTCCTCTGAAAAGTCTGGGTTGCTGTGTATTAAGGAGGGCTAGATTTGGACCCATAATATATTAAGCTATTGCTGCTAATACTGAGAAAACTTCCTCGGTAAAAGTCTTCTATCTGGGTGAAGTGCAGTTAATGATATTTTCCATGCATTTCTCTGGATTAATAAAGCATAAGGAAAACATACAAATATGCCCCACCTTTGTGTTGTTTAACAGGCCAGCAATATCCTGGACTCACAAGCTTTACAGGTTTTGTAGCTTATCAGCTGAAAGTAATCAATGCCTGCTTTTTCCCCTTTGTTATATAATCCCTCTGTGCATATCTTGAGGAAGGTGATTTTAATATATCCACAGAGGAAGTATCTAAAAGCTGTCCCCTTGTTGGAAGTATTTGCTCCTGGGTTTCATAAAAACATTCAAGGTATACCAGAAAAACACAACAAAACAAAAACCAACAGTAATTCTATTACAATATACATTTACAACTCTATTTCTCCACATTCCTCTTCATGCTGCCGCCACCAGGATGCTGAGGTTCCACCTGAATTATGGGCACAAGCACCTGATGAAGCATGGCTGAGTTAAATAATTGCTCTTCCACATTTTCACCCCTGTTGTCGATGTGTATGTTCTCATCTGCCCCAAGTCTTGGGTAAAATCATTTAACTTAAACAGCAGTTGCACATTTTATGTAGGTGGTCTGTTTTGATGTTTTTTGGTTTTTTTTCTCGTAACCCTTTGATATCCTGTGACCTCTGCAAGCAAAGATTTAGTACGATGTTCTTTTTCTGCCTTACGGATTCAGCCTCCATTTTAAATCATTAAATTCTTTTAATTCGTCCTAGCAGGATTAAAAATCCATTTGTGGATGAGCAGAAAACACGTAAATTAAACAGCCACAAGGACTGGAATGACACTTTTTGCTCGTTTGCTAGTCAAGTGGGGTGGATGCAGAAAATACCTCTGGAGGAACATTGGCTCAAAGGACAAGCAGGAGCTTGCTCTGTTGTAGTTTTGCTGTGTTAGCCCATAAACTTTCTCTGCTGACTGGCTTTTGTGATGGTAAGACAAGACTAACACTGTGTACCATTTAGTGTCTGCAAGAGCCATTTGTTCCCCTGAGTAGATTCCCTGTCCTGCTTATCACCAAAGGGTCTTACAACCTCACAGGCATCGAGGGGAAGGTTAATATTTTGTAAGTTTTTCTTCTCCTCTGAGCTTTCGAATTACAGAGTGAATGGGTACAGAGGGTAAGATCAGAAATGATACTTCAGAAGTCTTCTGCATTCCACATCTGTGATTAATTACTAAAGAAAGAATATTAGTGGGGTTTTTTGCAGACACCAAACAGAGATACCTGAAGTAAAACATTTTAAAGATTTAAAGTCCTTGGGTATTTAAAATTCCCTCAGCTGGAGACCACTGGATCTCTGGGATTTGGCAGGCAAGCAAGACACTTACTGTGTTGACTGGTTTTGTAGGAAATGCCTGGGTGTGGGTCAGTGAGGTTTAGGTAATAATGAAAATGAACTAACCTGTAACAATTTCCTTGTGGGTAAAATCAGGTAAAATAGCAGTTTTCCAATAGACACTGATTGATAATTATGGGGTTTTTTTCACAGTATTGAGGTGGTGACCAAGTTCTTAAGGACTTAAAATTTTTCTCTATGAAGTCTGTGATCCACCAATGCTCATAGAATAAGTTTATTTCAAAATTAAATTATCCCAAGTCCCAGTTAATGTTCCTTTCTTAAATAAAAATAGAA